GGGCGGGGCCTGCGCGGGGGCGGGGCCGGCGCCGGGCCCCGCCCCCCGCCCCGGAGACCCCGGCAGCGTCTTGGCGGCGTGGCCTGGGGGGGCGGGAAACGGCACCGGAAGTGGGCGTCGGGCACCGGAAACGGGGAATTTAGACCCCAGAATGGGGGGTTTGGACCCAAAATGGGGAGTCTTGACCCAGAGATGGGCCTCGAGACCCGGAAACGGGGAATTCAGACCCAGAAATGGGGGGTTGCACCCGAAAACGGGAGATTTAGACCCAGAAATGGGTCTTGGGACCTGAAAATGGGGAGTTTTGACCCAGAAACGGGTCTGGGGACCCAGAAACAGGGAATTTAGACCCAAAAATGGGTGGTTTGGACCCAAAATGGGGAGTGTGCACCTGAAAACAGGTGATTTAGACCCAGAAATGGGTCTTGGAGCCCAGAAATGGAGAGTCTGGACCCAAAAAACATGGATGGAGACCCAAAAACGGGGAGTTTGGACCTGAAAATGTGCAGTTTTGACCCCAGAAATGGGTGTCAGGACCCAGAAACGGGGGGTTGGACCCCAAAAACATGGGCGGGGACCCAAAAATGGGGGGTTTGGACCCAAAATGGGGAGTTTGCACCTGAAAACTGGTGATTTACACCCAGAAATGGGCATCAGGACCTGGAAACGGGGAATTTAGACCTAAAAGTGGGGATTTTGGACCCAAAATGGAGGATTTGCACCTGAAAATGCGCAGTTTAGGCCCAGAAACGGGCGTCGGGACCCAGAAACAGGGGTTTTAGACCCATAATGGGGAGTTTCAACCTCAAAACCAGGGAGTTTTGACCCAAACACAACGAGTTTGGACCTAAAAATGATGGCTTGGGCCAAGGAAATGAGATTTTTGACCCAAAAAAATGGGCATCGGGGCCCAAAAATAGGGGTTGGAGCCAAAAACGGGCATTGGGACCCAAAAACCCAAGAGTTTTGACTCCAAAATGGGGATGGGGACCCAGAAACGGGGAGTTTGGACCCAAAAATGGGCACTGGGATCCAAGAACGGGTGTCAGGACCCGAAACAGGGGGATTTGGGCCCAAAAATGGGGACTCAACCCCCAAAACAGGGAATTCTGGCCCAAAAGTGGGCGCAGGGACCTGAAACAGGGGCGTTTGGACCCAAAAATGGGACCCAACCACGGGAAACCCCCAAATCGGCCCCAAATCCCCCCTTTTGTCCCCAAAACCACCGTTCTTGCCCCAAAGTCCCCCCAGGCCCCAAAACCGCAGCCTTTCACCCCAAACTTGTCCCTATCCCAGCACCGAGCGACCCCAAATCACCCATTTCTGGCCCCAAATCCCTCCCAGGCCCCCAAATCCTCCTCTTTGTCCCCAAATCCCCCCCCCCCG